CATTGATCTGAATTAGTCTGGGCCATCTGATGACTTTCTTTCTTGAATTAATCAAGCAGAAAAGACAATCCTCTATAATCATTACTGTTTTACAAATGTTTTGATAATCAATTGTGTTAGTTTCACTCAATTCTTACAGGTTGAAAAGAACTACTCATTTTTATTTTACATAAACAGTAAGTAATGATTTTTATCCCTCATTCAGAGAAGAAATCACCTGAATAAGCATTCCTTGATTTTCTGTCTGAAATGAGTCAAGTCGTAAGTGTGTGAAAGTTGAGGCTTCGGTCAGCTAAATGTTTACTGAAGAAGAAATGTCATGTTTAAACTTTTTCAGAAGATTACCAAGAGTTGACTCCACGAAGTCTGCTGCTTCTGCAATAATCTCTCTGTACGTGAAAACAGATTTCATTCTCTGACCTCGACTGTTGATAAACACCTTACGTCAAAACCACTCCTCTTTCTGGTCCATCCACGAATCAGAAAGCTCTAAGTAAACCCGGAAGTAAACTCATTTAAAATGTGAAAACTTCCCGGTTCTGAGAGAGTTCTGGAGAATGTGAGAGTTCCAAGATCGAGAGTGCAGCCGGTTCTGAAAGCTTCAGAGCAATGAAGAGTCCAAGAGTTATGAAGAGTTTGGAGTTATGAAGAACCAGAGACGTTTGGGATTATAATTCTGTTTTGAGCTAACCACGCACGACTCTCCGAGGATTTTTAGCTGCTCTCAACGGAGGCGCTGAAACAGTCTGAAGGACTCTTACTGAGCTGATCTATCGTCAAACCAGGTAAAGACTTCTTCTTCGACCAAGTGTACCGTGGGCAAAGCTGAGATACCTGATGGGAGCGTGCAACTTCTGGTCAAACAGATTAAATTCCCTCACATAGTTCTCTGTAAGATAATCTCCTTTCATCTTAAACTCTTCTCTCTCATAAATCAGTACAGATATTTTTAGAAATATCTGAAGCAAAGTCCTCAAATCACCGCCGAGTGATTTGAAGTTCATTTTCTGTGAAACTGTCTGTTATTATTTTCATATTTTGCCAAATTAATGTAAATGTTTGATGTTAAACTTTGATTCTGAAAATAAATGATTCCATTCATTTGATGGGTCAAAGATAATAACGTCTCTCGTTACATTTTGTGTTAAATTCAATGCACGGCATTTACAGTCAGAAAAATGAAGAACTCGTGAAAAGTATGCATAAATATATATCCATATATTTGTCATACAACAAGTGACACGTATCTCACGTGACTCACTACAGTTGGAAATAGCGTGTCTGCGTCAGGGCCTCTTTCCTGCGGGGTCCCACAGGGCTCAATTCTTGGATCCCTTTTGTTTTCACACTATTTGCTCCCTTTGGGATCTATCCTGAGGAAACATGGTCTTTCATTTCATTGTCATGCTGATGATTGTCAGATTTTTAATGATCAGAAGACTGAAGTTGTGTTTAGCCCTAGCTCTACTGCTGTCTCTGATCCTGTAAATCTTGACTCTAAACGTTTAACTAAAGGTTGGCACTGACGGCAGCAAATTATGTGGATTCCTTCAAATAATGATAGGCTTTTATTTTATTTTTAATCAATGTTTTCAAACTGGCAATGTTGCATTTTAGTTTTTCATAATTTTCCCAAATAAAATTATTTTATATGGCCTTCTTCCATTTTACAAGCAGAGCACCCCGCCCTGTCAACAGAACTGATCACACTGCTTACCAAACACCCACCCCCATCGACAATGGCCGGCACCGATGTAGTGCTAAGCTAGCTGCATGCAATACGGATGCGCTTGCTAACAAACTACGGAAGTAACACTCCGTTTCCCTCACTCTGAGCCGATACACTGATAGTTTCCTTAAATTAGTGGAGTGGCCCTTGGTGTCTGAAGATTAATCTATGGGGGCCAAAGTCACCATTAGTCACCCACTGGCTCCACCATTGCAACTGCTGGTGGATAGGATAAAATGTCTCCCTCCTCTCTCCAGGATCCGTCACTCTGCACTGCCTTGGACAAGAAAAAAACCCCACCTACCTCTGATCTTCGCCACAGTGTAACTTCTGCCCACTTGAATATCTTGCACTAAAAGCATTAAGGCTTACTTACATTCCCTGTTCAGTTCCAGTCCAGAAAAACACTCATCTTGAAAACTACAAACATTCACTATTCAAATCGTTCAGTGACAGGGGACATCGGTGTACTTGTTTTTCTTTCTTTTACCCCCTTGTTTTAAATCAAACCTTAAATGTCTTCTTTAAAAATCTAAATTTATCTATCAGAAAGTTTTCAATACTCTAACAATCATTTAGAAAAAAACATTTTTGGCCAGCTGCTGCAAGAGCAGAAAGGTTTGTGAATGTAGTCACAACAACCAACACAGTTGTGTATGGAAACCACGCTGCATGTTGTTCTTTTACTGGCATTTCTTTTTGGAAATCCAAACTGTGGAAGAAGTCGAGGCCTAACTCTGACAGTAGCCTATTTATAGCCTTTAAAGAGGGCTGCATTGGTGGTTTGAAGTGTAGCAGGACAAAAGGCTTAAAAAGGAGTGGTGGGGAGATTTATGACACGCTGAAGAAGCTGTCCCATAAACCAACAGACCAGCTGGATGTTGTTTGTTGGCAGGAGGTACAACCACTGAAGCCTTTTGTTCTCACTCCTCTCTTCCTCTCTCATGTTTCTGCTTGAGGTCGCATCTCTTCACTTTGTCTTCTCAGACAGCTGAGATTTACAGAAGCTAAGCTCGTTGTAAATGTGGCTCCAGGTCCATTTCAACCCACTTCAGACCAACACACAGGTCTCCACATGATCTCAGTTAGTCACACATCTTGAAACCAGGCTGTACAACACACTGTCAGCAGTGAGGAGATGTAAACAAAATCAAACATTCATAAAGGTGTACAGTGACTTGAAAAACGAATCAGACTGACTGAACGTTTTGCATTTTTGGTAGTTTGCTGCCTCATTCTACATTTGTTCACATATTTTTGTCCCTCATCATGGAATGGAGGGAAATTGGAAATACCTTCCATCTGTGCATGTTGTAAGAATGATAACTTGAAAAATAAGTGAGGATTAGATTAAACTTTTTATTGTCATTGTGCACTCCGCCCATCTTTCGGACGACTGTGCGGACATATGCTCATTGTATCTTGGTATAACGATAATAAAGCTTATTCTGATTCTGATTCTGAGCCAATGAAATTCAGTTGGCAACTAACCAGAAGTACAAAATACAAAATTACTACCAATTATTTACAGGTAAAGTGCATGGAATGAGTATGGAGAACAATGCTGTCAGATGTGGACTTTATATTTATAGACTTTTTTTTCTGACACGCCCTCAACAAAGATGGTCGCTCTGGCAGCACGACGGCTCAGTGGTTAGCACTGTTGCCTCACAGAACAAAGGTCCTGGGTTCAATCCCCTGTTGGACCTGGGGTCTTTCTGTGTGGAGTTTGCATGTTCTTCTCATGCTTGCGTGTGTTTTCTATGGGTATTCCTGTTTCCTCCCACAGATCAAAAATATGTATGTTAGACTGCCTTCAGGTCCAGGCCTCCCTTGCAAAAGAGGTCTGTGATCTCAATGGGATTTGCCTGTTTAAATAAAAGGTTAATAATCTTCTTCCCTCTCCTGCCTTCCTTCTGCTTTTGCTGTTTGTCCTGTGTATCAGAGCCTCTCTTTACACGTCTTTCGATTCGTAAATGATGGATCTGGTCAACTGGTCTCTCAACACAATTGATAACATTTTCTCGACAAGGAGACAGGGTGCAGGAGAAACCTCATGCCCTGAAGGGACACACGCAGCTGGATATGTCATGGATTCCTGGGGTGAAAGGAATATGATGTATCTGTCTGTATTGTCCGTTGAGGACCTAGAAGATGTATACAAAATTGGATATATGATAACAGGGTTTCTGCTTTTTGGAATTGGCGGATACCTGGGATTGCCCAGAATGTAGTAGATGTGAAAAGAGTGTCAGATAGGGTGATGTGTCTGAAGATAGAAGTAGAAGGTCTGATGCTAAACATTGTCAGTGGTTATGCTCCACAGGTTGAATGTGATGTGGAGGAGAAAGATACATTTTGGAAGGATCTGGATGAAATGATAGAGAGCATTCCCAGGGAGGAAAGAGTGGTGATCTGAGCAGACCTGAATGGACATGTTGGTGAAGGAAACAGAGGGGATGAGGAAGTGATGGGTAGGTTTGGTGTCAAGGAAAGAAACCAGGAAAGACAGATAGTGGTGGATTTTATTATTATTATTATTAATAATAATAATAATAATAAGTGCTATGTGTTGTCACCATTGTATGTTCCCATATACTGGTGAAATTAGTTCTCTGCATTTAACCCATCACACCTGGGATACAACCAGGTGGAGCAGTGGGCAGCTATGTAAGCGCCCGGGGAGCAATTGGGGATTAGGTGTCTTGCTCAGAGACACCATGACATGTGGGAATGGCTGGGGATCAAGCCTGGGACTTTCAGGTCCTGGGTCGGCTGCCCTGCTTCTACTCCATCTCACCTCCCCCCAAAAAAAATTGCCAAGAGAATGGAAATGGCTGTAGTCAACACTTGTTTCCAAAATCTCATAAAGAATACTTATGGCCATGAAGTTAAAGAACCTTCGGAGGGTTAATCATGAGAGATGAGAACTGTAATATCTCTGACCTGACTGTTCAGGCTGACGTCCTTCAGTCTTAGTCCTGAGCAGCTTCAATCTACAGCTTTGAGCTCAACAATGAAACAATAATGGAACTGATGAAAAAAGTCTTGAAGCTCATTTCCTTAGTTTGTGTCAACTGGAGCAAAATGACGTCTGTAAGCCAGTACTTTTATAGACACTGACATTAAATATGATCAGCTATGATCTCCAAACTTAATGGGATCCATACACCTGTTGGTAATTTTTTTATTGGTATTAAATTAATTAAATGTGTAGATTTTTAAATTTTCAAATCATCTTTTTTTGACTTTTTTTCATTTTTCTCCTCAGTCTGAACAGCCCAGTCCTGCCAGTTCCAGCTCCAGTTCAGGCTTTGCTCCCACACATCACAAACGCCAAGGTAACATACATGCACACACACACACACACACACACACACACACACACACACACACACAC